TTTGCAGTTGTTGTGGCTTATGGTAAAAGCTTACAGATGAAGATAACAAAACCTGAACTTGATGAATTCAGGCTTTATTTCCTAGCATATAAAATCATCTCAGTAGATATTTATCTAATCATAATGAAATATGATAAATTACTATTTACATTGGTTTCTTAAAATCAAGACGCAGGCATTTTAGGGGGAAGCAAAGCGGTGAGATATTAGCTATGTAAAAGCTAGCAGAAGAAAGACGTAATTACTTGCCAGAGGTATTTATACTAAGTAATGATGTAATTGTAGGAGTAAGCTGTGATTGATTAATATTAGGTTTAGTTGCCCTTTTTCAGTAGCATTACATAACATAGATCTCGAATTTGGAAGAACAGATGAATTTAGGGATCTAAAACGTTAGTTTTGAAGTCGCCAATTATTTTTCAAGCAGCTACCGTATTTTCTTATATCATACATATATTTACATATTGCGCCTGCAACGATAGTGAAACAACAAGCAGCTGACATTTATAACTAGACTGAATCTCATCTGCATAGCTTTATTGATCTGTATATTCTCATATTATATATACGAGGGTTGGAACTTTAATAGTGGCAACACAGCTAAAAAAAAACGCTACGCAACAAAACCAAAGAATATCGCGTATACCACACGTAAACTACATACCTACCTTACCTCTCAGCAAAAAGACTCGTCCTGCCTACGTCACGCGCATGCGGAGTGACGCGAAGAACGAATCCTTGTATTAGCTCGCGGTCTAAAGTAAGTGTTGTCAGGATGTTTTCAAAACAAGAACAACGATGTTGGATAAAAATTGCATGTGCCAGAGGTCGTACAGCACGACACTGTCATCAAGGGCTTCAAGAGGCTTGAGGGGAATCTGCATTGCCTTACAGAACCGTAGCAAGATGAGTGAAAGCATTCAATGAAGGACGCCAAAACGTGGCAGACATGCTGCGGCCAGGTCGTCCGAGTGTCAGCGATGTAGACGTGCAAGCTGTTGCCGCACTAATGGACAGTGATCGCTGCCAAACGATTCGTCAGCTGGCCGGACAAACAGGATTAGCGCATACGACTGTGCTGCACATTCTGAAGGAACGCCTGTCCATGAGAAAAAATTCTTCGGGATGGGTTCCACATCAATTGACGGAAATGCAGAAATGGCTACGATACGATGCTGTCCGAACCCACCTGGAGCGCTATGAGCGCGAAGGAGATGCTTTTTTACGCCGTATCATTACGCTGGATGAGACTTGGGCCCGATCGTACCAGCCAAAACTGAAACGCCAATCAAACGAATGGCGTCATGAAGGGTCGCCATGACGTTCGAAATTTCGTCAGAAACCCAGCAATGTGAAAGTTATGGTCATTCTCGTGTACGACTGTGATAGTGTCATCCTAACGCATACCGTTCCCCCACAGCAGACCGTCACAGCGCAGTATTACTGCTCATTTTTGGAGCACAATCTCCGACCAGCTTTGAGAAAAAAACGGCGACAATTTCTGCAGAACGCTCCTCTCATTTTGCATGACAATTCTCGGCCGCATGCAGCGCAAGCTGTGACTGATTTGTTCAAGCGATGGGGCTGGGAAGTGCTTTACCATCCACCATACTCCCCAGATCTAAGCCCTTGCGACTATGACTTAATTCCTAAGATGAAGGAACCACTTCGTGGCACTCGCTTCCAAACTGTTCCTGAGATTCTTGTGGTAGTAGACCGGTCCATTCAAACTATCAACAAAACAGGCGCTGCTACAGGTATTCTGCGACATCCACATCGTTGCAAACGGGTTGTACACAATGCTGGTGACTATACTGAAGGACTGTAAAACATGGTGACATGAATCACTTTTGTATTCCTTGTAAATAAATAGTTGCCACTATTAAAGTTCCAACCCTCGTATTTTGCTGCAAAGCTGCACTAGCAAAAAGGCAGACAATATCATCGTCTTTCTTCGAGTTTCTTGGTCTTCTGATTTTCAGCTTTTAGAATACTATATTCTAGAAGTATTCTAGATGACAGTATTCTGCAGAACATGGGGCTCCATGAAACTCCTGTTGGAGTTCTGTAAGTCAAGTAAAAATTCGAAGGAGTATTTTAATATCATGTGAAATGCAAAATTAACCATTTAAAGTAATAATTGCTACAAATTGTTTTATTTCTTTCATTATTGTTTCCTAAAATAATGTGAAATAGATCTGTTTTTATAAAGAAATTATAATTAAGTAATAATTCTGCATATGAAGGATATAGAGTGTTGACACATTTTCAAAGCTTTGTGATAATTATTTTTCTAAGAGTAGTAGGAAATCCCAAAAAAATTATAATTTTAAGTGTTCCTGCAGCCGACAAGTTTAGAAGACAGTTGCTAAAAAAAATAAACGGTTTTAAAAGTGGGTTAAATCTACAGAAAAAAGTGTAATTAAATTTACTCGCCAGTAAAAACGAAGAGCAATCTTAAATTTTAATTACTCTTGTCTTTATATCTCTCATTATCAAAGTTTGTAAACTTCACTGGAGATTTCTCCTTATCTGTAGCTTATAAAAAGTATATAGAAAATAATAACTATGATAAGAATCAGTTTCAAATCAATAAGGTTTTGATTTTGTTTCTTCTGCAAGGATCAACTTTTTTCATAAATTCCTGACTTCTTAGGTATGTGTAGAAGGTTGCTGAGATAAGAATATTTATAAACAGATTGTAATGATGAGAAAATAAATGTTACTGAAAAGTACAGTAACCTTCCTGTTTTTCGGACTCAAAACAGTAAACTTCCTGTTTTTTGCCCATGAGAATGAGAGGATGTGTGGGTAATTGGGTCACCTTTTTTCTGTAAGACATACACAAGTTACTGTAAATAAGGGGGAGAGAAATTTTATTTACTTTTGTTTGCTTTTATTTTGTTTATCGAACTTTGTTCATTTTAAAATTAAATGTTTTTATTTCACTGAAACAAATACAAAAGGTACTTTATTTTAGCCAAAATTAAAAAATGGAATTATATTTTTTTGGCCTAACTGTACAATGTATATATATTTTAAATGATATAAAGCAATGAAATTATACTTTAATTTACTTGAAGGAAACCTTAAAACTAAACATTTTATCTTTGTTTTCATAGTCTTTGTTTGTTGTAGTAAATTAAACGGAGAAGATATTATTTGAGAAAACGTTTACCTTTTTCTGGTCGGCAAAAATTGAACTATAGTTTACGCTGACTTAATAACTTCATAAAAGTTAATATAAATAAATAATAAAAGTTGATTTAAAATAATAATAATGTATCCTTTGCGTGAAAATTATTTAAATTAACGATAAAGTACAAATAAATTAACAAATTGAATTTTAATTAACTAGAAAGGTTGGCTGATTATTTAAAAGCCCAGAATGGGATTGTCTGTCTATGGGAAGGAAGTGACTCATATTCACGTTACACATGCAGAAACCCACAAAAACTAGTCAAGCATCCATCCAGTTGGCTTGGAGTCGAACCCGGGACGAACTCCCAGCATTCACCAGTCTTAACTCTTCGGTCACTGGTGAGGCTTAACTAGCAAGGACAAATAAGATTCACATAGTTGGATTTCTGAATAACTAGAAATACCTAATGCTCCTTGTTATCTTAAAAATAGTGTAATACATCTAAACCTCAAAATCCGACGCATATCGAAAATATAATTATTATTTATAAAAATATTGAAAAATGTTGAAAAGCAGTTACCAGAATTCAAAAATATTCCCCTGGGACAAACATCGATATCCATACTTTATTACTATATAAAAATTTATAAATATTCCTCGAACTTACAGTATTTAAGACTGCATTTTCTATTTGAAATTGCAAATTTCAAGCTATAAATACTACACTGCAAGGCTTCCTTATAAGTTTCGATTACCGGCGAAGGCGATTGCTAATTTTTCATCTTGCCCGCTTCCATAAAAATCCTAATGTCTCTACAGTGGCGCCCGAACTAAAAGGGTGTTTGGATGATGATTCTCCACACCCAAGATTTGGCGATTGGGTCCCTTAAAAGCCCTAGTCGCGCTTTAAAAAGGGGAGTATATAAGGTATCTCTCCCACTTTCCTAGCGTGCCTTCGGGGTGTAGTGATTCTGCACGCTGGGCCGGTATTTCAGAGGTCCGTGGTTCAATTTCCGGCAAAGGCGGTTGCTAATTTATCATCTTTCCTGCTTCCAAAAAAGTATCTAATGTCTCTACATCCTAACTCCATCCAGTCCCATATAAATGCGTCATTGTCAACACTCTTTTAAATTTGTTGGTATAGTAAATGAAATTGCATCGTTTCCTCACTGTATGTTGAAGTTCAGAGGTCCAGTCCCGGGAGGACATCGCTGATTTTCACATTTCCTACTCTGACAAATACCTAATGATTCTACGAAGTGGCTCCCGAACTAACATGTCCTAGACTATAACTGACCACCACTTGTATTTCGCGATCGGATTCCGCTACTTCTTAGTCGCTTTTTAAACAGGAGAGTAGGTAAGTAATTTTCTCTTTCCTCATTGCATGTTTTCGTTACGTAATTGTAAGCATGACAAGCTGGCAATCGGATGGTCTGGAGTGAGAATTTCGGTTAGAACACCGCTGATTTTTCATGTTCTCCGAGCTTAGAAAACGCTTAATAAATTGTACAAGCGACCCTTAAACAAAAATTGGTGACGATAATTCGTCATCTCCAGGATATGGCTATAGAATCCTAGCCTTTCCAGTTATCCTTTATATGAAGAAAATTTAAGGAATTTTACCCTTGCTTATCGCATGCCTTCTTGATAAGTTTAAAGCTCGAATCTACAAATTAAAGGGAGGATTTGCCCCCTCCAGTACTCTGTATAAGCACATGATCTGAGAGAAAACTGAAATCTAAATACTTGTATGTATTGTACTGCTTGAACTGAAATGTTAATTTTATCAGCCAAAACCTGCAAAAATTACATCTATTGCCATAGTTTCTATAGTGAGAATGTTATTCTTTTCTAGGGCGATTCCGGAGGTCCTCTGCAGTGCCTGGTGAATGGACAATATTATGTTGCTGGAATCACGTCTTTCGGATCCGGTTGTGCAAAAGAAGGATTTCCGGATATATACACGAATACTGCTTATTTTGCTGACTGGGTGAAAGAAATCATGAGCCGACCTTCAGCTAAGAAATAATATCTTCGATTCTTTTTCTCGGACTTGCGCATATAAAACAGACAATGTATTATAAAGCAACGTCCTTCACGGCTACATATCGCTCATGCAAGTGAAAGGCACCGGAAATGATAAAATGTGTGTGTTTCTATTTCAAAGCCTTAATGTATAATTGCAGCCATGTTTGTTTGAAAGAATCTTTATGAGATCTCATTATGAATGAAATAATAACGTTTCTTGTATTCATGAGGATTTGAAATCTACTTTTGATTCTTATAAAATCCTAGCACAGTTTATTAGTTTGCTTTTAAATAAAAAATTAATAAATAATTTAATTTTTAAATGATTTTTCAATGTTAAATTTGATGTTATTTATAATATAATTAAAACTTTCTGTGAAAGTTTGTTTTGAAATTCGCTGTCCTGTATGTAAAACCACAATATGATTATTATTCTACCAAACCGTCCTATATGTAAAACCACAATATGATTATTATTCTACCGAAAACAAATTCTTCATATTTTTTTAACTTGACGCACTTTCTTGTGTGATAAGTGATTTTTTGAGTAATTTTAAGGAATGCCTGGAAATTTACTTTTGATTCTTGCAAAGTCCTAGCGTAGCTTTATTATTAGTTTATATTTTGAATAGGAAATTAACAATAATATAATATCAAAATGATTTTCAGATTAAAAGTTAAAATTAATTTCGGATTAATTAAACATTTTTATTAAGATTTATTTTTCAATATAAAGTTTCTTTATTAATAATTCTTTATTAATTCTTTATATAATACCGTTATTATTCTTCAAAATCTATTTTCTACGTATTTTATTTTTAATTTATTTTATGTGTATGAGAGATTTCAGTAACTGTTGTTTTGAACTTTATCAGTTCTTTTATATAATTTTTAACGCAGAATGAAATTAAAGCTCCAAATTTTATTTTTGTTCAGAATTAAATTTTAATTAGGCGCAAATAAGTTATAAAACCCGACCAGTAAAATACAATATACAACGATGGCTGCTGATTTTTAAAGATCCTTTTTAAATTTATGATCATTTTTTAGAAATTAAATATTCTAAATTAGATACATTCTCCAGCACACGACGATAAAACTTATTAAAAATAAATAAAAATTATATTATTTAGATTTCTTGCTTGAGAAACATTTATTTTGCAATTAATTTTACAGTTTTCAAACTTTTAAAGTGAAGGAAAATCTAAATATAAAAAAAGAATGTTTAATAATTACCTCTTAATTTCTCTTATGAATAGTAAGTAATAAATTTAACATTAAATATATAGTTTTAAGTATGTTAAATGCTAGAATTTTAGTCAAAAGTTACTTCTATATGTTACAGTCAAAATAATTTAATTACTTCTTTACTAATACGTAACATATTCAAGTTTTAACATAAAAAAATCATTTCAAGTGCCTTAATATATTAGAATCTCAGTCAAAAGGTACTTAAGAACATTAGCGTCACAATAATTTAGTTACATCTTCAATGATTAGTAATATATTTAAGTTCTAATACAAATAAAATGATAACATTGAAAGAATTAATATTAGAACCTGAAGTATAAGATACTTAAATGCATTAGAATCACAAATTATTACCTTTTCAATAATGAGTAACATATGTAAGCAGAAGTAAAAAGATATTTGAAGTTGAAAGTGCCTTAAAATGTTAGAATTCTTAATCCAAAGATGTTTTAGGATTACGATAATTTAATTATCTCCTTAATGATAAGTGATATGTTTAGTTTTGGCTTGGCTAAAAAGGTAAATTTGAAAGTATCTAAAATATCGCGAACTTGGTCAGAAGATACTTTAGTACATTAAGATTACAATGATTTATTTAAGTTTTCAGTAATAAGTAATGAACAGAAAGATAAAATTTAAAGTTCTAAAAAAAGAAGTTTTTTTAATGCTCTAAAATCATAATTTTCCAGCAAAAGAAATCATTCAATTTCTTTTAACATAATGAACATAAAATATTAGTAATATTAGTAAGATGACAATAACTGCACAAACAATAAACTGGTTATAAATTACTGTAAATCTGCGAATAATTTTAATTTAATGGTTTCTATTTATTAAAACTATTTCGTAAAATTACATTTACTCATAATTTTTTTTCCAAATTAAGTTATTTCAAGCAACTCAGTGGCGTAAAATGCTCTGTATAGCGTTTGGTGTTTCCTTAACATCTCATCTACTTCTAAATTTTATTCGAATCAAGAGTATTTTTTTTTAAATCTCGTGTTTCTTAAATTAAGTAGTACTGAATTTAAAACCACTTCTGAGAGACATTCATGAGTGAAATTAATCTGGTACCCACATTTAAATGTAACATAAAAATTTCCTGAACTATTTGTGTCTTACAGAGTCAGTGACATGTACTTTTTTGTCTTCCTTGAGTTTTAGGAATATAAAAAGAGAAATTTAGAAATGCTCAAAAATTCTGTTATTCTTCAATTTTATGTCTCAGTTTTCTTACATATTTAATCTTTTATTGTATTGTTTGTTATTGTTGTAATAGGAATAAAGCAATTGCAAATATTTATGGAGGTGCCTTATTTTTACGCTAACTAGTACAGGGTCATTATTGGGGCCAATAATACTTCTCTAAATAAATAGCAACATGTTAGTGAATGTCACCTTGGAAACCGACTTCATAAGCAAAATGGCAAAAGGACTTCATAAGCAAAGGTGAAATGGGGATTATCGATGAGTTTTATTTCACAATTTCTAAAATCAATGGAATAAATACTTAGCATTACAACATTTCTGCAAGGAATAGGCAGTAATACTGATTTTTTTCACTCGCGTTGTGATCTGACGCACAGTTTTTAATGTGAAATACAGGGCGCGGCTATATATCGAGTCCATACAAGACCCTGAGTATTCGTTATTTTCGCATCCGTTGGTCATAGACTTAATATGTCCACTTACAAAAATACTTTAAATCACAGAAACATGCACTTTTGAGTCATTTCTTTAGTTTAAAAAATATATTTTCTAACAATTACGAAAGTGAACATTTTGCGTGTTCTCTCGATACCTATAGTTATACTTAAGAAAAGTTTATATTCATTATAAAAAAATAAAACACAAATATTTCACTCCTGTCTAATTAAAATTGACCGAGATATTTAATTTCAAAATTTGAGATTTTCAATATTCTTTCTAGTTTTCCGTGAAAAATAAATAAATTAGAATAATTCGAGATTAATATTTTTGTTCCTTTTATTGTCATTCAGTGATATTCTTTTTTAATTTACACAAGTGTGTACCTTCCCTAATTTAAAGTTTTCTTACAGATGGCGTGCCTAAATTATTTTCACACAGGTCAGTTAAAAGTTTTCAAATGCTGAATTCGTTATTACAGTATTATTTCTCATAACTGGTAGTAACCGGACGTCATTGGTTCCGAATAACTGAATATATATTTTTAGAACTTATCTGTTCGTGTTTCCTGATATCATTGTCGAAACTGCAGCATTCGTAGTTAGTTGGTTGTGTTTTCAGATCCATTCCTCACAACTAATAAATAAATTTAATATCAAAAATCAGACAAATTATTTAAAATAAATTAAAACACATACCAACAATTTTATATTTCAGAAAAGCAAAATTATCAACATTTTAAAATTACTATATATGACCCCGTAACTCAGAAATTTTTAGCATGATGACATATGATTTCGAATGTCTGCCTGCTTATAAGTATTTCGGGAGAGTTTTTAAAATTCGCTGAGTGTACGATGAAGCATCATAACATAGTGCGCTGAGAATTAATTAATGAACATTAATCGGTAGATCTTATGAAAATGGGCAGTCCTTCTTCAGCTTCCATTTTCCCAGTGTTTTGGTCTACAGCATCATCTTCATCCTCCCCTAACTTCTCCACATCATCTTTCTCATTTCCCAGCATCTATCCAATTATTTCATAGTTATCATAAGAGAGTGTGATGAGAACAGAATTGTTCGACATTCATTTAAGCCAAACTTAAATTTAAATATTTAAAAAAGTCCCAAAGCACAGATATTGGCATCATTTGAAAACTTTTATAATCGGAAGCGTACGACCAACAGTTGCAAAAATAAAATCCGCATCAAGACTTATGTGGGCACAAAAAATTTAAAATTTTACGTTAAATTATTACGCAAACATTTTACAAAACTGGATTCTAGGGGTAAACCCCCTTATGGAAAATCTCTCTGCTCTTTTAATTCTATGCTGCATTTCATTTAAACTTTATTTCCCAGAACTTCATTACAGATATATTTCAATCAATTCAATTCTCATTTCGAGACAAGGCAAAAGTTCATAGAAACTCGAAACATCTTCATTAAAAAATTGCAAAATACAGAAAATCATAAAACACCAAATACTATTAAAAACAGTTAGCAATTTGACCAGCGGGTAGGGAGACAGATTTTTTGGTGCGTAAAACTGAAAGCTTACTTTTGGTCCCACTCGCGAAAAAGGAAATGAAGTTGGTGCAGAAACTGACTTAATGCACTATTCTATTAAGAATTTCAAATATAAACAAATAGCAGCCTCGTTAAGCTTAGTAGAACTTTAAAATATTTTAAATTGTTGATAATTCTGCAACTAGTGCATGCAGATTAACTAAAGGTCATAAAAACCTTAACCGGAACATAAGAACAAATAATTCAATCACTTTTAAAGCAAACTCGGGTAAAAAGGTGGGTATATTATATGGACTTTTGATGTTGCCGATTGCTAAAAAAAAGGAGATGAACAACTTCATGCTATAGCACTCCCGTATACAAAATTTCAGCGTTCTCGGGAGACTCGTTTTTGAGTTACGCGAGATACCTACCTACATATGTATGTACAGATGTAACGAAAAGATCTCTTCTTCTGAATCTATTTTAAATCCATTTTACAAACCGTTCTGGAAAAAGAGTCCTTTTTTTCTGTTCGTACGAACAGATGTCAGGGTAAAACATCGTTCAGACGGATTCGAGAGCTATCAGAGTGGATATTTTCGTTGAAATATGATACCCAAAATTTTTCACGATTACAATACTTCCTTTTCTTCGTACAAGGGAGTAAAAATATCAATTCGACTTGCCCAATAGCAAAATACTGTTGCTAAGCCTAACATGTGCGAAATAATGAGATCAGATAAACTACGAATTCTAAACTGATTAATAATAATAAAAATAATTAGAAGAAACTGCTGTTGTAACATTAAATATGATGTAGCGAAATAAATCATTTTCTCTGTTTTTCTCATGAAAAATTCCGAAAAGCAGAAATTGTCTCTTTAGTCCGAAAAGGTTCAGAAAAAAACTGGTGACCAAGATACAAACAGGTGCTTCAAAGTTGCATGAAATAGGAAATAGCTTCCTTTGCTGAATATGGTGAACGCACTAAAGAAGAATATGATATACATCTTTATCGCCATTACCGCAGCTGCACAATGCACTTGAAGCAAGACCATATCGTTTTAAACAGCTCTTAAAATTTCCTTGTCCAATCAAAAATTAGGTTACTTTAAAATCTGTTAAAAACTGAATAATTTTTTTTCTTTGAAACATTGCAGGAAAAAACTCTTGTCACATTGTGCATTTGGTGGGGCCAGATATTCCCTGTTCCAAATACAGAATAGCATCATTTATATTTATATAAAAGCTCTTCCAGTGAGAAAACAAGAACACGAGGATTTAAATAAATGTGACGTTTCGTGGCTAACTTTGCTGGAGCATCAGCTATCTCATTTCCAAAATGTCCACAGTGTCCACGAACGCAATCAAAATGAATGTCGATGTCAAGATCTTACAAGTTCTTAATACTAGCTTGAATTTCAACAGCAAGTTTCTCTGAAACACGAATTTTCTCTAGTAACTGTAGCAAAGAAAGAGAATCATGTCTGAATAATATATATTTTTAGATATTATTTTATATTTTTTTATGTTAAAATGCTCATTGATCTCAAACCAGTACAAGAAGTCGGAATCCAATTCGCAGCAATGTTTAAGCGCAGCAACTCAGACTGGAAAACAAAACGCTTATCATTAATTCTGTACTGTTTGAAATCTCTTTCTTGTTTATCTTCATAAACAACAAAAGCAAGGCCAACCTTATCATTTATCATATTTCCGTCTGTGAAACAAATTAATTTGTACTGTTCAACAACAGCATCGAAATACCCAACAACCGGTATAGGATTCTTCTTAACATGATGCGGCAAAGAAGAAATTGGAAGATGGCCGTCAAGAAAATTTGACTATTGGTAGGCTAAAATTCTTATGTGAAATAGTGGACTTTCGCCTGAGTAATAGTTTCTCCTGGTCTATAAATGGAACTAAATAAATGCTGTCAGTCTAGAAGAACTATTTGGAAGTGGTCACTCTAGTAGCAGGTTTTATACATTTTTAAGTGACTCAATGTTTTATTTTTATTTTGTTCTAAGCGAATGATAGCCGCTTGAAACATAAAACAGCACTATAATGAGCATTTTACGTAAAGCAAAATTCGAAAAGCATATACCACCAGTTCGTCGTTAAGGGTCTCAAAATAGCAAACTTAAATATATTTTTCAAGACCATTCTTACGAAAAATGGGTCTGGGCTCATTCCTGTGGCAACAGATAGCTATAAACATTTTGTCGGGACGTATTCTTGTAATAATAAATAACATCTATGAATAACTAATACTCAGTTACTTATACTAATTGGGAAATAAATACATTTTATGCAACTTTTTGGTGCAAATACTCATGTACAAATTTAATAACCATGAGCTTACTAGTAGCCGAGTAACAACTGGTAACGAGTATAACAATTTAATAACCCTGAGCTTACTAGTAGCCGAGTAACTTACTAGTACAAATTAATTAACCATGAGCTCACATGCTTTCCCTACGTCCAACGTATTTACGAGACAGTATCATGAAAAAGTTCCTTACGAAAACATTTTCTCTTGAAGCAAATTGCCCTCGTATGTTTTGTTGTATTCAATTAAACAAATTTAATAACCATCAGTAGCACATTCAATGAAATCTGTGAACTTCATATTCTAAATGGGATACTTCGCCCCACAACTTCGACAGATACCATTGTAATCACTTGAAAAATAGTAACTCTACTCAGAATGCAATGCTTCTATATTTCAAATGCATAATTATTTTCATTAGACATCAAATTAATTTCCATACTTCTGAAATATGAAATGGAAAGTAAAAGAAAAGAAAATGGATAAATGCTACGTAGCAATTCAAACTTAACTTGTTAACAAAATTTTAAATAAAGCTCCACATTATACACTTCAGAATCGGTTTTTGTATTTATAAAATGCTATTCACTGATAACTCGGGTAATGTTGAGGATGCATTCTTAGGGAATAAGACGTTAAAGGAAACAGTGTTTAATGTGTCTTTTTAACGTAGAGTAAGTAGCTTTGGGGGGACTTGTGAGTAGAATTAAAGTACTTATTAGTTATCTGGAATCCTCTTGTGCCTCACCAAAAGTACCTCCCATGACTCTGATTCTTGCGAGCGTTCGGCAACCCTAGAAGCTGCTCCGA